CAAAATGGCAGAAAAGTTAAGTTCATTGAGATGCTTAAGTTGGCATTTCCCCGGTTGGTATTACCGTACATAAACCATACAAGTACATTAACATAACATACAGCAAAACGTAGGCTGTGTATATAGGACATTGTTGACTATGCATGATGGAAAATTGTTTAGTAAGGTTTGTTAAAAACGTCATATTGAGTTAAAAGAGAATATATCTATAGCTATTTCTGTAATGGTACATGTGTCCACATTTCAGGGTAACGGATTATAATCTGTATGTAGTATACCTGTCAGAGTTAGTAGATACTGCTGTCATCTGTGTGTAGTATACCTGTCAGGGTTACTAGATACTGCTGTCATCTGGATACTGCTGTAGTCTGTATGTAGTATACCTGTCAGGGTCACTAGATACTGCTGTAATCTGTATGTTGTACATTTGTCAGGGTCACTAGATACTGCTGTAATCTGTAGTATACCTGTCAGGGTCACTAGATACTGCTGTAATCTATGTGTAGTATACCTGTCAGGTTCACTAGATACTGCTGTAATATGTATGTAGTATACCTGTCAGGGTCACTAGATACTGCTGTAATATGTGTGTAGTACATTTGTCAGGGTCACTAGATACTGCTGTAATCTGTATGTAGTATACTGTACCTTTCAGGGTCACTAGATACTGCTGTAATCTGTATGTTGTACATTTGTCAGGGTCACTAGATACTGCTGTAATCTGTATGTTGTACATTTGTCAGGGTCACTAGATACTGCTGTAATCTGTATGTAGTATACTGTACCTGTCAGGGTCACTAGATACTGCTGTTATCTGTATGTAGTATATCTGTTAGGGTCACTAGATACTGCTGTAATATGTATGTAGTATACCTGTCAGGGTCACTAGATACTGATGTAATATGTATGTAGTATGCCTGTCAGGGTCACTAGATACTGCTCTAATATGTATGTAGTATACCTGTCAGGGACACTAGATACTGCTGTAATCTGTATGTACCGGGTAGTCCTGTCAGGGTCACTAGATACTGATGTAATATGTATGTAGTATGCCTGTCAGGGTCACTAGATACTGATGTAATATGTATGTAGTATGCCTGTCAGGGTCACTAGATACTGCTGTAATCTGTATGTAGTACATCTGTCAGTGTCACTAGAAACTGCTGTTATCTGTGTGTAGTACAACTGTCAGGGTCACTGGATACTGCTGTAATCTGTATGTAGTACATCTGTCAGGGTCTCTAGATACTGCTGTAGTCTGTATGTGCCAGGTAGTCCTGTCAGGGTCACTGGATACTGGTGTAATCTGTATGCACCATGTAGTATACCTGCCAGGGTCACTAGATACTGCTGTAATCTATGTGTAGTATACCTGTCAGGGTCACTAGATACTGCGGTCATCTGTGTATAGTATACCTATCAGGGTTACTAGATACTGCTGTAATCGGGATACTAATGGAGTCTGTATGTATTAAACTTGTCAGGGTCACTAGATACTGCTGTAGTCTGTATGTACCAGGTAGTCCTGTCAGGGTCACTGGATACTGCTGTAATCTGTATGTACCGGGTAGTCCTGTCAGGGTCACTGGATACTGCTGTAATCTGTATGCACCATGTAGTATACCTGCCAGGGTCACTAGATACTGCTGTAATCTGTATGTAGTATACTGTACCTGTCAGGGTAACTATATACTGCTTTAATCTGTATGTAGTACATCTGTCAGGATCACTAGATACTGCTGTAATCTGTATGTAGTACATCTGTCAGTGTCACTAGATACTGCTGTAATCTATGTGTAGTACATCTGTCAGGGTCACTAGATACTGCTGTTATCTGTATGTAGTATACCTATCAGGGTCACTAGAAACTGCTGTAATCTGTAGTTAATACATATGTCAGGGTCACTAGATACTGCTGTAATCTGTATATAGTACATCTGTCAGGGTTACTAGATACTGCTGTAATCTGTGTGTAGTACAAATGTCAGGGTCACTAGATACTGCTGTAATCTGTATGTAGTACATCAATCAGTGTCACTAGATAATAATGTAGTCTGTATGTATTAAACCTGTCAGGGTCACTAGATACTGCTGTAATCTGTATGTAGTACATCTGTCAGGGTTACTAGATACTGCTGTAATCTGTGTGTAGTACAACTGTCAGGGTCACTAGATACTGCTGTAATCTGTATGTAGTACATCTGTCAGTGTCACTAGATACTAATGTAGTCTGTATGTATTAAACCTGTCAGGGTCACTAGATACTGCTGTAATCTGTATGTACCGGGTAGTCCTGTCAGGGTCACTGGATACTGCTGTAGTCTGTATGCACCGGGTAGTATACCTACCAGGGTCACTAGATACTGCTGTAATCTGTATGTAGTATACTGTTCCTGTCAGGGTTACTATATACTTCTTTAATCTGTATGTAGTACATCTGTCAGTGTCACTAGATACTGCTGTAATCTGTATATAGTACATCTGTCAGGGTCACTAGATACTGCTGTCATCTGTGTATAGTATGCCTATCAGGGTTACTAGATACTGCTGTCATCTGTGTATAGTATGCCTATCAGGGTCACTAGATACTGCTGTTATCTGCATGTAGTACATTTGTCAGGGTCACTAGATCTTGCTGTTATCTGTATGTAGTACATTTGTCAGGGTCACTAGATCTTGCTGTTATCTGTATGTAGTACATTTGTCAGGGTCACTAGATCTTGCTGTTATCTGTATGTAGTACATTTGTCAGGGTCACTAGATCTTGCTGTTATCTGTATGTAGTACATTTGTCAGGGTCACTAGATCTTGCTGTTATCTGTATGTAGTACATTTGTCAGGGTCACTAGATACGGCTGTTATCTGTATGTAGTATACCTATCAGGGTCACTAGATGCTGCTGTCATCTGTGTATAGTATACCTATCAGGGTTACTAGATACTGCTGTCATCTGTGTATAGTATACCTATCAGGGTCACTAGATACTGCTGTCATCTGTGTATAGTATACCTATCAGGGTTACTAGATACTGCTGTAATCGGGATACTAATGGAGTCTGTATGTATTAAACTTGTCAGGGTCACTAGATACTGCTGTAGTCTGTATGTACCAGGTAGTCCTGTCAGGGTCACTGGATACTGCTGTAATCTGTATGTACCGGGTAGTCCTGTCAGGGTCACTAGATACTGCTTTAATCTGTATGGTGTGTTCTGTGTGACAATGTCCTGAAGAGACACTGTTGTAATTGGTGAGCCTAAATTTCAGGGTTACCAACAAACTGCTGCAATCAGCCTGCCTACACATCAGCATGATATTAAGGGCCCTGCTGTAATTAGTATGTCTTTATTTCAGATTACACAATACATCTCCAGCACACACGCACATACACACATAGGGAGATATTAGGCAGGTGGCATAGGACTAGTAGTTGGCGCCTGAGAAGGCAGCTCCTGCGAATTTCTCAATATTGTATTGATTAATATATATGCTAATTGTATTGACTGTATAAAATTGTGTATCTATGTACTGTAAAGCGCTTTAGAGTGGCTTATATTAGCTAGATAGGACGCTATATCAACTGTTGTATATTTTATTTATTTTATATTTATTACAGGGAGAGACATTGCTGTAATTGGTACAAAACCAAACTTTTAAATGAAGACACTTGCGTAACTGAAAAAAATAGAAACTTATTTATTTTACAACAATTTTGAAACAAATTAATCTGATATCAATAACTCTTTTTGGCTTAATGTGGGAGAAAACCAGAGTACCTGAAGAAAACCCATGTGATCAGGCAGGTGACCCTGTACCTTTTCACATCCGATTGTGGAATCTAACCTGAGCCGCCATGTTGAACGGCAAGTGCGTCAGCCACTGCACCAACCAACCATGTAATTGGTGTAAATGATGTGTCCACTATTCGGGTTACAGGAGTAGATACTGCTGTAATTGATGTGTCCACTATTCAGGGTTACAGGAGTAGATACTGCTGTAATTGATGTGTCCACTATTCGGGGTTACAGGAGTAGATACTGCTGTAATTAATGTGTCCACTATTCCGGTTACAGGAGTAGATACTGCTGTAATTGATGTGTCCACTATTTGGGGTTACAGGAGTAGATACTGCTGTAATTGATGTGTCCACTATTCCGGGTTACAGGAGTAGATACTGCAGCAATTAATGTGTCCACTATTTGGGGTTACAGGGACATATACTGCTGTAATTGATGTGTCCACTATTCAGGGTTACAGGAGTCGATACTGCTGTAATTGATGTGTCCACTATTCGGGGTTACAGGAGTAGATACTGCTGTTATTGATGTGTCCACTATTCAGGGTTACAGGAGTAGATACTGCTGTAATTGATGTGTCCACTTTTCAGGGTTACAGGAGTAGATACTGCAGTAGTTGATGTCAGCACATATCAGGGTGATAGGATGAAAGTACCCATGTATGGTATACCCAAATGTCATGTTTACAGGGGAGAGGCCTCACTGCTTTAAATGCCATGCCCCAACATTTAGGTTAGCGCGCCCACACATCATGTTCTATAGATTGTCGTGGGGAGCAGGCTGTTTAGGGATGATACATAATGATTCCCTCCAGTTATAGTCAAGGTAAATCAATAGTGAGGCCCTGTGTTCACCCACAAATGGCATCAACACAAAAACTCTGTAAAACATGTACTATACTCATGTGTTCTCCATCAGTATCGGCAATGATATACCAGCTTACCCCACTAGTTTACATCTACAGGCGAAAACTATATGTATTTTATCATTCCATCAAATCCCTGATCTAGTTAAGAAATATGTAGAGGCTGATTCAACTGTAAACTGTTAAACATACATTTTTTACAGTTTTGTGACAGCAGTAAACGAAATGAGTTTTACTATAGAGCTTTACAAAAGTGTGTCCCCTGAACACATTGTGGTTATGCAGTGTGCAAGAATCACATTCATATTCAGCTCCTTATTCCCACAGCCTTATGAACTTACCCTTATCATTGAGCTCCTTGTTGATGTTGTGAATGACAGAAGCAAATTTCTGTTGGTTGTAAGCGAGACACTCCATTTCCGTGGCTTCAGTGTGTCAAGTAAAACCCACGTTAAAACATCCTTGTGTAATTACGATGTACTGATGCTGTGTCTGAGTTAACGGTATAGATTCCAGCGTATGATGGGGAGATCCCAGAGACAGCGACGTCACAGGGAGATCCCAGCAGTAGGGCTCTCACAGAAAGCCAGGTGTTGTGTGGGGGATCACATCCAGATGTGTATAGCACATGTCTCCGTGTGTCCCACTCACTGATAGTCCTCAGTTCCCGGCGACACAGCGACACCCAGGTACAACATTCAAGTTTGTATGTGACACAGATGAGACAGTCGGCTCCGTACCTAGCACCTATATTACAGAGTGTTGGAGTCCATCAATACATTGATCTGGAGCTAGTGTATCAATCAGATGTGTGTACCGGTTGGTCGTGTGTACAGTACAAACAGATCAGCTGGCTATACCCCAGTCCACAGTGGGACCCGTCATGGCTGAAGACCAATGTTATTGTAAGACCAAGCGTGTAAACACTGTCAAGTCAATACTATGTGAGCCAGCAAACTGAAGCAAGCCAACAGCGGACACCCAAACCCTTCATCCGCCATGGCTACCACATTACAGACGCAACTATATGCATTATTCCATTGAACAGTTATGCCAAAAACAGCCCTCTCGGAGCCACGATCAAGACTTGAACGTCCACCAAGGGACATTAACAGAGCGATCGGAACGTCCAACAACTACAGCAGTGGATTATTTTTCCACAGTATTTTGGTGGTTAATAAGGCCTGTGAGGGCTGCATACGTATGTTATTGATCCATTCAGAGGAGACTGGTAATACCGCTATTCTGGTCAGGTGCGAGCCCCTGATGATTCCAGCAACAACACGCTGGTGATCGGCTCTGTACCCAATTGGACATGAAAGGTGATTGATTGGCTGCTGACTGTTTGTCAATCAGCCCTCCATACAAATCACCTCCATTGTTGCTACCCTCGTTATGGACAATTACTCCATAAGTAAAATACTCATAATGGCTTATAAAAATTTCATGCATATTATATTCATAAATCAATAACATTCTAAGACTTCTACTTACAATATTGTACAACAGATCAATGCAAACCAAATGAAGAAACAATCAATCTTGGGAGAATTTTCCACAGTTTTGGGGGGCTTTCGAGTCATTAATGCGAATAGCGGTTACGCAGATGAACTTGCCATTATTTTCCTGGCTACTTTCATGCGGTAATTGATGTGTTAAACACGACAGAACCTATTCATTCAAACAAAATGGTACAGGACACCAATTGAATGGGATTTCCAGGAAACTATTGATTTATAACAACCAAAATGTCCTCTCTAAAATATTGATTGGTACAGAGACCATTAATATCATTTTGAGCGACTCCTCTTCTTTAGCCTTAAAAACTCACATAAAGATCAACAAACAGTTGGCAAATGGCCCATATCAAATACAGATGTAGTACTACTCCACGTTATCATACCCAGTCAATAGGATCATCACACCAGCAGCTGCAACATGTAGAGAATACCGCCAGTAGTAATAGCACAGACTGTATACACAGTACAACATTCTTTTTCTGCAGGATTACATACCTAAAATAGTCCTATTAAACTTATAAACTGTTAATATGGCTATACTGAACCCAATGAATCAAACACTGGATCCTTTTACTATTTTTATTGGCTATCTTATCTATCTAACTTTTATTAAGGATATTATATTTTGAACTATATCTTGAGATGAATATCTTACATTTAATGTCTAAATATTTCTGTGACATATTTTATTGAACAATTAATTACTACGACATGATATTTCATCATTTTAACTCCTTTTATATGATTTCTTAAATCTAAAATGTTCTATAGGATTTCTCATATTTTACTAACAGGGTTTTTTTGTGAACAAAAACATGTCTTCCTTTATTAGCCAATATTCTTTACCCTTCCCTTGCAAAATAAAAATACAATAAAAGTCAAATAACCATTTATCTACCATTTTCTTAAAAACATTATATTACTAGAGGAATTGTCTATCAATAAATTATAAACTGAACAGATGAGTAAATACAATTAGAAAGTTATGATGTGGAAAGTCACAATTACAATTAGTTTAAAAGTTACAACTTTTACAACAAAGTTTGCACGTATTTGACCTTTGACCTTCAGGTCAGTGTCACAGTGACCTAATGATGGAGTGCACTGCAAATCATCTCTTGGTTATGCATATATAATGCAAAATTCATTAAGATATCTTTAATTGTTTAAAAGTTACAGACCAGATTAAATGTTACTGAAAAGTTTGCATTTATTTGACCTTTGACCTTGAAGTCAAATTCACAGTGACATAACCAAAGCACACTGCAAATTGCCTGTAGGTGATACATGTATACTGCAGGTTTCATAAAAATATCTTTAATAATTTAAAAGTGACATCACAAACAAAATTTTCTAAGAAATTTGCACTTATTTGACCTTTGACCTTGAGATCAGGATCACAGTTACCTACTGACAGTGCACTGTACATCATCTGTGGATGATGCAGGTATACTGCAAGTTTCATTAAAATACCGTTTATGGTTTAAAAGTTATGGCCCAGACAGGAAATTATAAGAAGAACCAGAAGAAGTACTAGAAGAAACTGTAGAAGAACTGGAGGAACAAGTACTAAAACAATATATCTCCCCTTCTTAGGGAGACATAATTATTCTACTACACAACTTATATTTAAATTTTTACTATTTCTATAAATCTTTAATATTTTACATACAATGATTGCTATAGACAAGGATATCTGATATCCAACTATATTTATAGAACATCTAATATTTAAGTATTTTTCTATTGGATATCTTACATTTACATTTTACATTTAGCAATTAACAAATATCTAAAAGATATCTTATGACTATTTAGAGAAGATATTATATATTTAACTATTTGTAAAGCTTTTCTGACATTGAACTATTTGTATCAGATATCTCATATGTACCTATTTATATAAAATATATTTATAAAACTATTTGTATAAAATATCTGATGTATAACTATTTGTATAAAATATCTTATGTACAACTATTTGTATAAAATATCTTATGTATAACTATTTGTAAAAGATATCTTTAATATGTATAACTATTTGCATAAAATATCTTATGTATAACTATTTGTATAAAATATCTTATGTATAACTATTTGTATAAAATATCTTATGTATAACTATTTGTATAAAATATCTTATGTATAACTATTTGTATAAAATATCTTATGTATAACTATTTGTATAAAATATCTTATGTATAACTATTTGTATAAAATATCTTATGTATAACTATTTGTATAAAATATCTTATGTACAACTATTTGTATAAAATATCTTATGTATAACTATTTGTATAAAATATCTTATGTATAACTATTTGTATAAAATATCTTATGTATAACTATTTGTATAAAATATCTTATGTATAACTATTTGTATAAAATATCTTATGTATAACTATTTGTATAAAATATCTTATGTATAACTATTTGTATAAAATATCTTATGTATAACTATTTGTATAAAATATCTTATGTATAACTATTTGTATAAAATATCTTATGTATAACTATTTGTATAAAATATCTTATGTATAACTATTTGTATAAAATATCTTATGTATAACTATTTGTATAAAATATCTTATGTATAACTATTTGTATAAAATATCTTATGTATAACTATTTGTATAAAATATCTTATGTATAACTATTTGTATAAAATATCTTATGTATAACTATTTGTATAAAATATCTTATGTATAACTATTTGTATAAAATATCTTATGTACAACTATTTGTATAAAATATCTTATGGATAACTATTTGTATAAAATATCTTATGTATAACTATTTGTATAAAATATCTTATGTATAACTATTTGTATCAAATATCTTATGTACAACTATTTGTATAAAATATCTTATGTACAACTATTTGTATAAAATATCTTATGTACAACTATTTGTAAAAGATATCTTTAATATGTATAACTATTTGTATAAGATATCTTATGTATAGGTAACTATTTGTGGAGTATATTATTTAACTATTTGTATAAGATAGCTTATGTATAACTATTTGTATAAGACATCTGATGTATAACTATTTGAAGAGGATATTATTTAACTATTTGTATAAGATATTGCATATATGTAAACACCCAATGACGATATCTCAAGAGCCATACAATCACACAGTATCATGTGTGATAAGAAGTAGCCTAATGGAACATAAAATAAATCTATTTTCTTTTTAAGCAATTTTTTAAAATTCTATTTTATAACCCTCATTACTTTATCAACACCTGTATGTTGTCAGTGTCACAAATCTATACCAAGTCCTTGTACAGGACTGAGTGTGCTAAAACAAGTAGGAGTTATTTCCCTTCACCTAGAATGTCCTCCTGAGATACATGACATAATCCATGAAAGTAATGTACAAGGGAAAACTTAAAGCCCCCAGCCCTTAAACTCCCCTGTATTGTTGAGGGTTACAAAACTGAGCATAAAAATATACCTGCAGATTAGCCAGCATATTGCAAAACATCTTGGACAGATATATGTAATATTAAAAGCTGATTTACATCATCAATCATCATCGTCATTACTGATAGAGATCAAAAGTTAAAAGATTTCATAAGTACTGGGTAAGGTTTGAAAACATTTGTTAATGTCATTGACATTCATCCAGGTACAAGTCACCTGAATTTCTACATAATTTGAGAAATAGATATTCAGCAAGAACCAAAACGAACACCAACATGTCACCTCCAAACCTCCCCTTCCCTATTTTACAGAACATTATCACTCCTACAACAGAAAGCTAATTTGTTTAGACCTACTAGATATGACAGAAAGCAAATCATTCCTGTAACCCCTTGACCCACTCCATTACAGCTGTAGCTACCTACATGGAGTAATGCTAGAGCAATCCTCTGGTTGACACCTATAGGGTACTCAGTCTGGCCCTGGTATGAGTACAATATTCTCACTTCACGCAATCGTAACACACATTACAGCACTAGTTAAACAGCCTCCCTTCATATCAATGTACTGATGAAATTCACATCGGTCATAGACAAAAAGTACAGGTGAACTCTAGACTTATGTCTCCGCTCAATCAGTAAGTCTGATCGTGTAGTCTCATCATCGCCAGTCACACTAGACTACCTAGACCTGTAGTCCTCCACCAGTATGGTGGTACACTGCTACATTGTACAGCAAAGAGTTCTATGCTAATGTATAGTTATGTATAGTTAAAGTTTAACTATGTTAAAGTGTTATCATCGCCAGTCACACTAGACTACCTAGACCTGTTGTCCTCCACCAGTATGGTGGTGGTACACTGCTACATTCTACAGCAAAGAGTTCTATGCTAATGTATAGTTATGTTAGTTAAAGTTTAACTATGTTAAAGTGTTATCATCGCCAGTCATACTACAGACTAGATAGAACTGTAGTCCCGTACCAGTACGATGGTACAATACTATATACATTTTACATCAAAGAGTTCTACTTTTGAGTGCAGCAATATGTTAATGTATAGTTATGTATAGTTAGGGTTTAACTATGTTATATTGTTATCATCCACAGGGATGCTATATGTTATATTTAAACCTGTACCAGAGACCCACCTCTCCATTAAAAGACCTCTTGTGTTAATGA